TGACAGTCACAGTGAACGTTTCAACGGGGGTCCTGAAGACAGTCACAGTGAACATTTCACTGGGGGTCATGAAGACAGTCACAGTGAACATTTCACTGGGGGGGGGCACATTTTCCAGTGACAAAACTATTGAATATGCATCAGATTTTAAACTTTCTTCTTTTGAACTTCCATTAACATTTTTGTATTTGTTTCATATCTAGATGTTTTACTACAAGTCCATAGTGTTGGTATATGTGGATCAGATATCAAATATTGGACACATGGTTACTGTGGTCGCTTTGTCTTGGAATCCCCCATGGTCATGGGACATGAAGGCAGTGGTACCGTCATCCAGATTGGGAAAAATGTTAAAGATCTTAAAATTGGTATGAACATTTTTAATCCAAAAACCTGAATACTTGTCCACAACTGGTTCTCAGAGATGACAAGGCAGATTTCCAGTGCACCTTGTAATTTTTCCAAGATAAAATTCAAGATGGCAAATTGAAGGCATGGTGACCATGTTCCTATATGCCATTATAAAAACCTCTCACTAGGAATCTTGCCAGATTCTGCTCAAATATGTCTATGCATATTTGAGAGAACCCAGTGAGAATCTGATCAGAATCTCAATGATATTATAGCAAGAATCTCGTCAGATTATCACTGTTTTCTTTCTAATTTGCATACAAATATCTATAAAGAATCTTGACATGCTGGAATTTACACTCAATGTACCTGGCACATATTCTTGACAAAATTTAGTTGACATTTTTAATTGCACATACCCTGAATATTTCTCAAATAAGAATAAGCATGGAAAAAGCATGGAGAATTTGGCAATGTAAAAGTTAAACTTTAATTATTCTAATCAACAATTATACACAGTGAATCAGAATGACAAAAAAACATTTGAACAAATAGAAATGAATTTTCACTTATTTATTAATGCTGAACAATAAGTTCAAATGATATATACACTGTTGAAGGTGTTCAGAAATACTGAAAATATTCTCAACTAAAACATTAGGAATCCAAATATCAAAGTACATGTACAATCATTTTTACGCAGGGTATTTAAAAATAAATGCACAAATATTTCATCCAATATTTTGTAAAAAAAAAAAACTAGGTTCCAAAACATGAGATTCAGGGACATATGTTGGGTTGAGTTTTGTAATGCTGTCAGTAAGAATATACACATATTCTTGTTAGATTCTGATCAGAATTTCTAAGCAAGAATCTGATCAGAAAATTTACTTTTTTTTTAGAATCAAGCAATAAAAAATCGTACAGGCTTGCTTTAATTAAGATCAGTGACATCATTTATTTTGAAAATGTCAAAGGAATAAAATAGAAATTGTGTATTTGTGTTATTATACTAAAGCAATAGTAATGAATCCATTTAACTGTAGGTGATCGTGTGGCTATAGAACCAGGTATACCATGTCGTGAGTGTCAACTCTGTAAAGATGGACGTTATAATATTTGCATTGATGTCAAGTTTTGTGCCACTCCACCGGTTGATGGTAATCTCTGTCGGTATTACACACATCCTGCTGATTTCTGCCACAAGTAAGTTGATAACGTATTTTGTTGGATCATGTGATGACTGAGAATGCCATACAGTTAACTTTCTTTCAACTCCAAGCCATTTACTACGTAACCTTTTCAAATTCAAACCAAACCTATAATTGTATGTTCTGCATTTTTAGCTCCGCTGTTGACTTTTTAATTTTTCGGCTTCTTCTTGAAAACTACAACCCTGAATGCTTTTGATACTTGGTCTATATGTACCTTGGGTAGACCTCTCTTATTAGATTTGTTCATTTTATGATGATATCTTCAATTCTCAATATTTTTGTCATTTTGATAAAAAGTGATATTTTCAAATTCTTGTTAAAAACTGCAAGTCCAGTTGCTTTGATATTACATACATAGGTACTACATGTGGACCTCTCTCAGATTTGTTCATTTTGTGATGATACCTTCAATTATCTAATTTTGTAGAATATTTTTGTCATTTTGGTTAAAAGTGATATTTTTGAATTCTTGTTGAAAACAGCAAGTCCCATTGCTTTGATACTATACATATTGTTCATTAGCCTTCGCAGACGAAGTCTGCCGAAGGCTTATAGATTGGGTTCTGTCCGTCCGTCTGTCTGTCTTTTACCTCTTATAACTTTGATATGCTCTGTCCAATTTTTTACCAAGTTGGTGCAAATGTAATTCTCAATGCCATACATATGCACGCCAAGTATTTTTTTGATTCGCCAAAGTTTCATTGTGTATTTCTGTGATTTTCAACATTTTACTAGTACAAATGCCGAAATTTACCGGAAAAATCTGAGTTTTAACAACATCTCCCAAGAGAACTGGCATACCATATTGCGCATGCCGCTGAGGAAATCGGCGTCGATTTCGTCTGAGGATATTGTATTCCGGGACTGTATCTTTCTTTGCACAAGGCTTATTTAGATTAAATTCTATCTCAAAGGTAAGAAACTGTGCTTATGGTATTTATTATGAACTTTGATTTATCCTTTTGTGTCCTGACTTTAGTGAGAAAAACAGTCCTGCTATTAGTTCATAAACTAGTTATGAAACGTGTACATTTTGTAAATCGAAAGTTTATCTCGTCATTTAGGAGGCTTGGGAATAACGTTTGGCATATAAAATACTGGAATAATAAAAACATAAAGGTTTAGAACACGCTGATCGTGATTCTGTTATGTACGATTGCTATTTCCGGTGTTCATTGGTTTCGTGACGACATATTAGACTAGAAATATCGAGAAAACACAAGTTCGGCCAACCGTGACTGCTTGAAAGCAATGATGAAATTGAAAAGTACTGTAATTCAATATCAATGAATCTATCATCACTTTTAAATTACCTTTGAAGTAATATGATACCCGAGTGCGTTACTGCACTCGTGACCGGGACCTCCATGCTCCATGCTCCATGCGGTGTTGAAGTTTATTGGTAAATCGAACCTCATTTTCCCAGTCAGCTATTTATTTCGGTACTGAAGTCAAGGTGGCAATTTCAATGTTTAGCTACCATAATTTATCTCCATTATGAGCAGGAAAATAAATTACGGACCTCGATTGAGTTTGATTTAACGGCGGCCATGTTTTTAAGGGATATGTGAAACAATATTAGGGAGGGGGTCAAATTCACGTAATTCTCAATTTCAATGATGTTGACTTAATAGTCATAATTTTTTTTTTTAAACTCCAGGATATTATTTTATATATTATTTTAATACAACTACAATATGTTAATTAGTATGCAAATTAATATGCAAATTAGCAGCCAATCTGAGACATAATCCAGTTCAAAGAAATTTGATACACTTAGGTTATGATCACTACCTCTGCTGATTAGTTTTTTATGCACTTCTATCTGCTTTTATATTAAATGTATTTTTTTGTATTTTTCTCAATAGTTTTTTTTTATTTCTTTTGATAGCTTGGCATCCATTTGGTTCAGCTCAAGTGAAATTTTTGGCATATCCCTGATCAGATTTTAATGACATTGAAAACACAAGTACTCTGGCTTTTTGCACATTCTTAATATTTTATTTTTGCAGAATCCCGTAAATATTAATTTGACAACTTTGTAGAGTGGAAACAGA